AGCTGAGGACTGACCGCCCTTCTTAGAACCACGTGAGACAAGCAGACCCAGGGTTGTCCAGGACGGTGAAGGTGGCGATAGAAGGATCTGGCCTGCTCTGCCCCTGGGCAGTCCCGTTGTCACAGTTCTCACTGTGCTGATTTGAGAGTGAGCCACACGAGCTGGGCAGGGTCCGACGGTCAAGGGTATGGGATGATGATGTTGTAGGGGGCTGCTTCCTTCCCCCGTCCCTTTGGGGAAGGTAACAGGTGGGGAGAGAGACCAGCAGGACTTAGTGATCAGAGCTCTTAGCTCCCAAGAGCGTCAGATCCCCAGTCCGGCGGCTGCCATGTCCCAGCCAGGGTGCGGCTGGAGGGAATGGGTACCCGGGATGACCGCCAAACCCTGCGTCCTTGGGCCCACACAGGTGGCCCACACCCCCCTGGGAAGCCCTCCTGGAAGACAGCGTGAGCCTGCCCCTCAGGACCTGCCCCCTTCCTTCCTGGGGTTAAGTAGAGATGTGTCCTGGTGAGACATGTGGCCCGGCGCAGGACAGGAGGGACTGCGCCCCTCGAAGAGCCTCAGGACCCAGCAGCGTGTCCTGGGCAATCAGGGGAGCTGGTTGGTTGCAGATCCTTTCAAGAAGTGCAGGACCCGGACCCAGGATGGAGATGCTGGTGAAGAGGGTGAAATGTCAGAAGAGCCGCGGGGGCCCTGGAGGAGAGGCTGGGAGGCTCAGGGCAGCCCACTCCCCGGGAGGCCCAGTGGGTGCACCACATGGCCCAGGCCCTCAGGAACGTGTGGGAAAGGCACCAGCGTCGTCGGGAAGATCCCCGAGGACAGTGGGAGAGGCCGTCACAGGACTGACAGGGATGGGGTGATGCACCTGGCGGTCAGGGGCCAGGTGGATGCGGCTCTCTCGTGAGCAGCAAGGTTGGGGTGAGGCCAAGGGCCTCAGGTGCCCTGGGTTGTGGTTAACAGAACACGGTGTTCCCAGCGCAGGACAGGCGGCCACAGAGGAGAAATTAAGGATGCATGACCAGGAGGCCCCAGTGAAAGGTCGTGACCCCTTCCTTGACCAGGTTCCAGGCCTAAGGCAGGTTTCAGACCCAGAACCCACTGACTGAGGGGGCTGGGTCCCCAGGCAGGGCGTCTGCACCACGACACAGGTCGGCCCCATGACATGAGCCCCGCCAGAGGCCAGCAGCACACTGCATGCGAGGTGGCCAGATGTGCGTGGGCTCCCCCCATGTGGCGCCCACCCCCCTGCACTGTTGCCTGTCCCGCCGCTCACATCTGTGGCCTCCCAGGGGTTCTTGTGACTGGCTGGGGACTCGGAGGAGCCCAGTCGTGCTTCAGGGATGGCCAGTGCAGAGTGTGGGTACAAGCTGGCAGTGGACGGTGTCTGGGAGAGATGGGCGACAGGCAACCCTCCCACGCTGCAGGGCTTCGGGTGGTGGACCTGGCCATCCGTTTGAGTGGAAAGAGAAATGGACCCGTGGCCAAGCAGTCTGGCTGGCTGGTCAGGGGGCTGGGAGAAGAAAAATGGCAACTTCAGGGACAGGGGGTGGCCAGCCCAGTGGCGCAGCAGTTAAGTTTGGCACACTCTGCTTTGGTGGCCCAGGGTTTGCAGGTTCAGATCCTGGGCTCAGACCTACACCACTCATCAAGCCACGCCGTGGCAGCATCCCACGTACAAAATAGAGGAAGATGGACAAAAGATGTTAGCTCAGGGCCACTCTTCCTCAAGCAAAAAGAGGAAGATTGTCAACAGGTGTTAGCTCAGGGCCAATCTTCGTCACCAAATAAAAACAAACAAACCACCCTATCAGGGACAAGGGGGTCTAAGGAGAGGCATGCAGGGGACCGTGGGGCGGATACAGGTGCGAAATTTTAAATCCCGTGTTAACACCCACCAGAAGGTACTCAATATGTGAGAGGTGGATGGAATGACTCAGCCAGGTGACAGCGGCCAGCCTGTCATCAGCCCTGGGCGGCACACAGGTGCACGGACAGTTGGCTGAGATGGCCAAGACGAAGGCCACTTACATGCTCGTCCAGAGAGGAGCCCAGGAGGAGACCGCTGGTGGGGCAGCAACCCATCCTCACAGGAGCAGACCTGTGTTCACAGGACGTCCTGCCCAGAGGACAGAGGTCCAGGCCCCAGCCCACAGTCCAAGGGCTTCAGTCAGCCTCTCTCCGCCATGGCTGATCCTCAGGGCCGGGGCATTCTCTGGGGGCGCATCCTGGGCACTGGAGGGTGTCAGGCAGCATCCCTGGCCTCTACCCACTTGAGCCAGTAGCACCCCCTCACCCACTTGTGACAAATGTCCCCAGACATGGCCCCATGTCCCCAGGTCTGCCTGTGGAGAACCGCTGGCTTACAGAACGTGGGCCCACACGGCACAGGATCCCACATAGTGACGCATCAGACCGAGGGACCCACTTTACAGCAAAGCCAGGGCAGGGTTGTGCTGTGACGATGGGGCATTCACACCACACTTCCAGAAGATTCTAGCCTGACAGCGGCCTGCTGAAGGCCAGGTGGAAGGCCATCCTCTGTGGGATGGCAGCCACCCAGGACCTGCATCAGGCTGCGTCCCCCAAGGACGACACCTGGGTCCAGGAACCCAGGGTGGGGGGCAGCACCAGGAGTCTGAGTCCGGGGCCTGCAGAGCCGAGGTCCCGGCTCCCCCAAGGGACGTGGCAAAGAGTCCCCGGGCCTCCAGGCCCCTTGTGCCAGGGCCCAGAGGGGGAGCAGAAGCTCCACTTGGGGCAAGGGTCCTTGACCCCAACCCGCAGGAGGACGGCATTTGCACCCGGTGGTCCTGAGGAGACAGGAGGGGTCTGAGTGGTAAAGGGTGGGCCGTGGTGGGCACTCTGACTCACTGCCCCTGAGCCCCCTCCCCGACAGCACCCAAGCTGGGTGAGGGAGTACCCACGGCCCCGCACAGGAACTGGGTCACTCTGAGGGTCGTCAGGTTCAGGCTCCCCAAGGGGCCGCTGAGGCCTCGTGCGAGTCATGGTGGCTGGTCCTGGCCCTGCTTCCTTCCTGCCCAGCTGTTCCAGTTCTGATCCCGGGAGTACAATGCTCTGTCAACCCTGGGGGCTGGGGCCCGGCCACAGGGTGTCCTCCTCTGGGACCTTGGCCCTCCCAGCCCAGGCGCATCTTGCCCAGCGCCCACCAGCACGCCGCAGGATTCTGGTGCAGGCTCAGTCCAGGCAGAGGGGCCGCCAGGGGTGGGGGGGTGGGGGGGGTGTGTGGTTCCGCAGCGCCACCTACCGGCAGCACCCGCCGCTGTAGCCCAGGCCCAGTGGCCGCTCCAACAAGGGGGCTGGATTCGAGGGGTGTGGTCCTGGCTGTCCATCTGCTTGGCCGGCCCAGGGCTGGAGGGAAGGCCGCAGGTCCTGGGCAGGGGTCACCACTGGAGGTGAGGGATTTGGCCTAGTTGCCCCCCAACCGGTTAGAGCCAGATCCCCTGCAGGGGCACCAACATTCAAGCCCCCAGTGCCCATGTCCCCACACGTCAGCACGTAGATCCCAGGCCACCGTGGTCCCAGGGACCACGGTGCGCCCCTCACCCCTCGCCTGGCCTAGCGAGGTCTGGTTGGGGTCCAGCCCACTCTTCCTGCCTGATCGGCACCAGTCCAGCCCCTGACCAGGGCAAGGCCGTGGCCCCTCCGCTTTGCCCCAGGTCCCTCGGCTGGGAACATTTGCCCGTTTACAGATGAAAACAATGAGGCTAGGGGAGCTCGACCACTGACCCCAGAACCCAGCCTCAGAGTGAGGAGCCTGGATCCCCTGCTGAGTGCGGAAACACTGTGAGGAGGGGTGCGGGGTCAGCTGAGCAGAGACCCCAGTGGAGGGACGGAGCCAGACGTGCCAGGTGCAGATGTTCCCAGCAGAAGGGGCAACAGTGCACAGGCCTTGAGGTGGGACCAGCCTGGCACATCTGAGGAACCAGGTCAGCCTGACTCTCGCACTGCCCTGGGAGAGGGGCAGTGAAGGGCCTGGGGGGCCTGAGTGGGGGTCCCAGAGTAGAACGAGGTGAGGGCCAGTGGGTCACCCTGGGCCTGTGGCCACAGCTGCTGTCAGCAGAGATGCCCACCTTGTCTCTCCCCAGGCTGCCCAGACCCCGCAGTGCCTGTGGAGGTGCCCACAGCAGAAGGGCAGAGTAGGGGCCCAATAGAGGAGCCCCCAGGCCAGTGGGGGCCACAGGGGAGCCAGCTGCAGGGCTCAGGCCTGGGGTCCAGTTTCCTGGTGTCTAAAACAGCAGGGTTCGCTCTCTCCCCCTTGCCAGGTGGCTGCCAGGCCCCTCAGGACACCTACTGAAGCCACCTGTGCGGGGGAAGGGGTGCTGGCACCCACAGGGTCCAATGGGGGCGAGGCAGCCGCCCAGGTGACCCGCTGTGCACAGGGAGACAGCGCCACCCAGTGGCTCAACCACCACGGCCTCTCAACCCCACAGCCTGCAGTTCTCTTGGAACTTCTTCATTCCTAGATGGGGAACCGGCCCTGAGGCTTACAACTGACTTTTTTCTCCAGCTCAACCCCCAACACGGCTGTCCCCCACCCAAGGTCCCTCACTCCTTGTGGGCCCCTTGACAGCACTCACTCTAGGGGGCCCACGGTCAGTCACGACTTGGAGTGAACTTGCAAGGGAGGTGGGGCTGCCCAGGGGGGTGGGCACGGGAGCCCCACCAGGGATAGCAGGGTCGTCAGTGTCCCCCGAAAAGCCTGGGTCGTGTGCGTCTCCCGGCTCCCTCCCGACAGGTGAAGCTGAATGAGCCAACTCCATTTTACAGCAGCCAAACTTTCCAGTGAGATGGCCCACACGTGTTCTCTGCCTGACTACCTTCAATTGTCAATTTTATTATAAAGAACAGTATCAAAATATACAAATCTGTTTAAGAACAACCGCGAAATGCAGCTTTTTTAAGGGCCAAATGAGCATCAACCGCTTCAAAGAAGGCAGCTTCTCCCTCCCAGGGGACAGCGGGACACGGCCAGGTTTCCAGGCGTCAGTCTCAATAACTTAAGGGGCAGGTCTGGCTTCTGACTCTGGACGCCTGTTATAAATCTTCTCGGGAGGGAAGCTCTGCTGGGCTTTCTTCTGTGACTTCTGTCAGAAAACAGACACAGATCACTGGGTAAATTCCCAGTATGAAAGGCCCTCAGGACGTGGCCACGAAGTTTTCACTGGGACAACAGCAGTGCGTGCTACTAGCCTACCCCCCAGGGCCCTGGGGACGGCACCCAGGCTCCCTGCAGACACTGCGGCCCCACACCCCCCCACTGGGGGCGTCCAGGCAGGAGACGCGGCCAGACAGCGTTTCAGAGCTGCCACACCACACCGAGTTTGGAAGGCAGGAGGTCAGGAGCCGCTGAGGCGCCCCTGGAGTGGGCCCAGATGACACACAAGCCTGAGCGATGACGAGGGGGCGGGCGAGGAGGGGCCACACCAGGAAACGTGGGGGCAAAGGGCAGGCAGAGGCCTGGGAGCAGCCAGGTGACCTGTGGCCTCGCTCTCTGCTGATCGTTTGTCCTTGGTGCTTCACAGTTTACTACATGTCTTGATGTGGATTTGTTTCTTTATCCTGCTCAGGACTCAAGGAGCTTCTGGAATCTTCTTATTCATTCTGGAAGATTCTTAGCCTTTGCCCTTTTGTGCATGGCCTCTTTCACACCCTCCATATTCTTCTAGAACTTCTAAGAGACTATCATGGGAAAAATTATCTCCCAAAAAGACATTGGTGTCCAACCCCCAGGGCCTGTGAATGTGACCCTATTTGGAAATAGGGTCTTTGCAGATGATCAAGTTGAGATGAGGTCATTGGGGTGAGCCCTACTCCAATGACCGGTGTCCTTCTAAGAAGACGGAAATCTGGACACAGACACCAGGGAGAAGGCCACGTGACGACAGAGGCCGAGACTGGAAGGATGCGGCTGCAAGCCAAGGAGCTCTAAGACTGACGGCCACCAGAAGCTGGAAGAGGCAGGGAAGGATTCTCCCCTACAGGTTTCGGAGGAAGCCTGGCCCTGCCGACACCCTGATCTCAGACTTCCAGCCTCCAGACTGTGAGACAACACGGTTCTGTTGTTGGAGCCGCCTGGTCTGCGGCACTGTGTTACGGCCGCCCAGGAAGCTAATGTAGAGACAATCTGTGGACCCACTTGCTGTCCCTCGCCTCCCTCCACATCTGCCTTTCTCTGCAGCAATCTGGGTGGCTGACTTTTACATTTCAGCGACTACTTGTCACCTCCCCACCTTCTCTTTGTGCAGTGGACCCCATCAGGGCTTTGCCCCACAGAGCAGTTTTACCCTCTTCTCTTCCAGGAACCCCAGCTATCACCACCCCAGGCCACTTTTGGTGTGACTTTCTTAACTCGGGAGTTCCCAGACCAAGCAGCAGGCACACGCAAACCCCACAGCAGAGGGAGGGCAGGCCGCATCGAGACTTTTCCCTCTGTGCCATACGCAGGAGAGCCGTACCACTCACCGTCCCCCGCCGTCTGCGTCTGCACACAAGCGTCTTCTGTTTCTTCAAAGCCTTCAGGGCACACGCACACATAACTCCCGGGAGTATTGTAGCAGTTTTCGTTTTTTCTCACACATGCTTTTTCTGAGAGTGAGCACTCGTCTACATCTGAGATAAAAATACTCCACTGTAATAAGTCACCTCACTCAGCAAACACACACATCATGGATCGTGAGAGTCACTCAGTCACAAACCACTCACATACAGACAGCACAAAGACCAGACACGTCACATCAGAGAAAGGAGAGGACAAATTTCACACAAGTCTCCGAGGTCAGGCCCTGGACGGGCAGCGAAGCGGGGAAGACCGTCCAGGAAATGGGAAGGCAGGAAGCCCAGCACACTCGCACAGTGGGGTATTGGTGCACTCGCTGCCTCCCACCAAGCAGGTTCCAGCCAGGCCTCAACCACGGAGGCCCCGACGTCCAGCCCCGGGGCTGTGTCACCCAAGAGCTGACGGGGAAATGTGGGCAGGAGACGGGAGGCCTGGGCACGAGGCTGGACCAGAGCACGAGGCCACAGGTGCCTGCTTGGCCATCACCGGCATCATGCACACCTGGGGGCCAGCTGGGGCAGACCCTCGGCTCCCACATGCCGCTTCTGCATCTCACGAGACCCGCAGGTGCTGGAGAAGCGGGGTCTGCAGGAAGCATTTGAGCCCAGTGCCCTGTCCCCACCAGCTCCTCAGGGGGCCATTCACGTCCTGCTCCCTCCGGAAGGTTCTTAGTGCAGCACAGACACAGCACACTGACCTGTACACTGGCCGTTTTCTTTAGTGTAGCCAGGGATGCACTCTTTACACTGTCCTGGACCCTTCCCTGTGCAGCCCACACAGGTGGAATCACATTCTAGAAACGAGGGGAAAGATGATGATGACAGCAGAGCATCCTCCCGTGAGCACAAGGGGATCTGAAACCTGGGTGTTCCCCACACCAATCACGGGGGGCCGAGAACAGTGTGTTCTTAACACCCACCTCTGTCTCCCCGCAAAGGACGGACGTGCTTAAATTTATGCAACAGACATGTTCCTAGAGTTGCGAGACAGCAACAGAGCGGAAGAAGCACTATTTAAAGCAATCCTTCTATAAACCCGTTTGTGGAAGTGAAAATTGGGTACGGCAGCCTTTCTCAAAACAAAATCCACCTCGAGCTTGGTGACATTGCTTGATTTGCCTGCGAGGAGCTCGGTAAAAATAACAAGGGAGAGGGGCCGGCCCAGTGGCGCAAATGGTTAAGTGCGCGCACTCCGCTGCGGCGGCCCGGGATTCACCGGTTTGGATCCCGGGTGTGCACCGACGCACCGCTTGTGGAGCCATGCTGTGGCGGCATCCCATATAAAGTAGAGGAAGATGGGCATGGATGTTAGCCCAGGGCCAGTCTTCCTCAGCAAAAAGAGGAGGATTGGCAGATGTTAGCTCAGGGCTGATCTTCCTCACACACAAAAAAACGTGAACAGAAGTTCCCTCTCCGTAGAAGTGATAGATTTCGTTATCTTCTTTTCAACTTATTTGAATTTTTTTTTTTTTTTTTTTTGGTGAGGAAGACCAGCCCTGAGCTAACATCCACGCTAATCCTCCTCTTTTTGCTGAGGAAGACCGGCTCTGAGCTAACATCTATTGCCAATCCTCCCCTTTTTTTTTCCCTTTTCTCCCCAGAGCCCCAGTAGATAGTTGTATGTCATAGTTGCACCTTCTTCTAGTTGCTGTATGTGGGACGCGGCCTCAGCATGGCCAGGGAGGCGGTGCATCGGTGCGCACCCAGGATCCGAACCCGGGCTGCCAGTAGCGGAGCGCGCACACTTAACCACTAAGCCACGGGGCCAGCCCTATTTGAATTTTCTGATTTTTCTGCAGCAAATATCCATTACTTGTGCTGCCACCTTAAATATTTTAAGTAGGCAGAATTTGTAGAAGTCATGCTGACAAACCACAAACAAATGTTCAAAGGGGAGAAGAGGAGCCAAGTGGGACTCCGGAGGTGCCCCAGGGGGCCCGGGCCCAGGCACCTTCGCACAGGAACGAGCCGTTGACGTTCTCGCAGTACTGCTGGTCGCTGCAGGGGGGCATCTCCGCCGCACACTCGTCCACATCTGGAACACAACAGCACAGCCATGAGTGGTGGCCTGGACCTCTGAGATGACAGCTGGCTACCTGACACAACCCGTGGCCAGGGCGGGCCTGCAGAGGACAGTGACCCTCTGTGGAGGACACATTTTGACGGTTGCCCTTCAAGGCATCTTGTGTGCAAGGCTGGGGATGAGGGACGCTTAGTGCCACCAGGGAGGGGCCGCTGCGAGGGACCAACGGCTGACATGTGAGCACCCTGTGCTTCCACATGGCCTCCACAAACCTCAAGTCCAGGTCATGGAGGGCTGCTGCCCGCCCCACTCAAGGTGGGGCCCAGGGCCTGAGGCCCGAGGCTGACGCCCTGATGTGCCTAGGGCCAAGCAGCTGTGAGGAGTGAAACCAAAACCGATGCTGTGGTGGGAGGAGGGCAGCCCGGCCTCCGCCCGCCACCCTCCTGCCTGCCCGCCAGCACCTGGGCCTATGGAAAAGCACCTCAGCGGTACCAGACCCTGCCCGGGCTCCAGTTGGCCCACGGATCCAGGGCTCTGAGCCGCTGCAGGGCTGGGTTTGTAAGCTCACAGAGACTGGAGCTCAAAGGAAACGATGCACCAGAAGCAGGCGGTGGCCACCAGACTGCCGGGCAGGGATGGACGGGGAGAGCTGCAGACACGGTGCCGAGGCCAAGGCCTCAAGTCCACATGGCTGTGTGGAGCCCAGGGCAGGTGTGCCTCCTCTGCAGCCGAGCCAGACCAGGCAGACGGCATGGCTGCCAGGCTCGCCTGTGAGACTGTCCAGGTAGAGGGGAGGTCTGTGCCTCAGTTTCCCCCCGTGACTGCACACCAGCAGGACCTGCTTGCATCTTGCCTGTGCCACTCGTCCCTGTGCCCACCCCACCGGTCGCCTGCTCTCTGCAGTCTCCACCAGCCCCCTTACTGGCCAGAAGCCCCCCTACTCTCCCCATCTGTCTATTTTATGAAATCAGGTCACAAGAGGATACGACTGGGCACATAATCCCAGGTGTCCCTCTCGGGGCCTGAGCCAACGGACCACGCTGGGCCACCTGATGGCAAGGACAGTTGGTGTGGGGGCCACCTTCCCAGCGCAGGGTTTAGGCTGCAGAGGGTGCAAAGGAAACCACACAGGATCCCTCTTGAAATCTGCGTGCCGCACTCAGCAACCAGCCCACAGGCGAAATCACATGGGTCTAAATCTAGGCCTCCGCGCTGTGACCCGTGAAAACATAACCTGGAACACCAGAGTCACCTTCCCTGCGAGTCCAGAATGGGGCAGAGAGCACAGATGTGGACAGGGTGCTGAAGGGAGCCCACCCACTCGGGAAGGGGCCTGAGGATGGCTGGGGGCCATGCAGATCCCCCAGGGGAGTGGAGGGAAGAGGGGGAAGGAGGGGAGGGAGGGGGAGGAGAATGAGGATGGGGGGAGGTTGGGGAGGAGGAAACGCTGGGATCGGGGGGCAGACCCGCCACCTTACCCACACAGGTGCCATCCTCGCGCACCCAGCCCACTTCGCACTGGTTGCAGTCTTTGTTGGTAGGGCCAGTGCACATCTTACACGACTCGTCACAGGCTGGAAGGCAGGGGCGACATCCATCAAAATGTGTGCATCCCATTCTCAGTAATGAAAGTGACACGGAGGTCATTTCAGAAATTAGGGATTTACATTCAGCAGGTGAAAATAAAAACAAAGCAAAGAAGCAAAAAATCCCAGCAAAACAAGATTCGCTCAACAACAGAAAAATCCATTCGTGTGCTTCATCGTATTCCCAGACTTAAGAAACACAATACATGGCTTTCCATGCCCATTCATGATGAAATTCTTAGCAAAGAGGACTCCGAGGGGGTTTTTATAACCCAGCAAAGGCAGCTCCCAAACACCGAGCCCGCACCCCAAGGGAGCCCCACACCGAACGCGCCCACGGACACCGGCGGGGCACTTGAGGGCCGGCGATTGTGCCAGGAGAGCCACAGCGGGGGGCAGCCTTGTGCCAGGACACTCCAGGAAGGTGTGAGGAAAAAAGTGACTCGCTCTGCCTTTCTGGGGGTTATTTAGGGACAGGAGCGAGACCATCCATGGTCCTGTTGTTTCCCTTTACACGTTTTACAAGGGCCAGCATTCCTGGGCCTCCTAAGCCCCCAGAACGTCTGGGGTGAGAAGTCGGCAGGTCCCCTGCTGCATCTGTGCAGGCAGCTCCAGGAAAGGCTGCCTCTGTACGCCTCATGGACTGAGGACGCGGCCCTGGATGCTGGTGTCCTTAGTACCTGTGCAGATGCTGTGCGTCTCATTCCTCAGTGAGCTGAAGTAACCGTCCATGCAGTCGTAGCACAGAGCTCCCTGGTACCCTATGTGGCACTGGCAGGACCCGTCTCCTTGTCGGCTGCCATCTCCCTTGCAGTGGCCATTCCCGCTGCAGGGCCTTTCGGACCCACCCTGGCACGCTGTGGGGGACACAGATGTGCTGCTCAGAGTGGACCCCAGGAGGCAGCCGGGGCACATTTTCAGACAGAGAAAATGTCACTTCACTCACTAGCACGCTCACAACCAAAACAGCTTCTGGATTTCTCACTAAAACCCCAGCTGTCCTTTACCCCTACTGCAAGTAGGGCTCTATCTGAGAAACACGCGAGCCTGCAAGGGTGTCAGGAGCAACTGACTTGCTGGGGTTTACAGGCCCGGTGGGTCAGCTGCATGGGAGCCTCCCCTGAAACACCAGAGGAGGATGCTCACACACAGGGTGCAAAGGAAAGTGAGAACATCTCCCTGTGGCCGCAAGCCAGCAGGAAAGCCAGAAAGGCAGGCAAGAGGCAGCTGCAGCCAGCAGGGGGGTCTGAATTTGTAAACGGTGCCACTTCATCCAGCGGGTCAGGGTGAATGCCGTTGGTAATGCCTGAACAGCAAACCGTGGCTTCAACTTCAGCGCACACCTTTTCACAGAAGGGCCTGCTTCCCCTATTAAGACTGAATGTGATGTGTCCAGCCTGACAGACGCCCACTGCTCCCCGCCAGCCTTTCAGAGATGGCCTTTGCTACTCTGAGGGCAGATGTGCTGGGGGCCATGGAAGCCGTAAGGCTGCCTCCCTATACTCAGAGGGCAGCACTCGGGAAGATGGGTTAGGAAGAAGCCACAGGTGGGCTGCCGTGGGTCTATAGACCCCTGAATCAGAAGCACCATTGGGATCAGATACTCAGAGCTACACCGCCCAAAGGAGAAGGTCCCTACGGCGTGAAGGCAGTAGTGACACTGCAGCCCTACGGCTCGGAGGAGGCAGTGCCCAGGCCCTGTGGGAGCCTACAGCACCCGGTTCCCTCCTGTGCTCTGCCCACCCAGAACCACGACAAAGATAACGGGAACATGTATCACATTCGAGATTTCCCCTAGAGAAACATACGGAGGCAGTCCGGCCCGTAAGTTCCCGGATAACAGCAAACTTTCAGTGTTTTCACACAAAACCATTCAAATAAGTCCGGATGCTCCTTCTTCCTAGGGATTTAAAAAAATGTTCATTAAATCTCACCAGACAGATTTCTTCAAAACAAAAAGCAGTTTACTATCATATGTGTGCCAGCATATAATAAGGGCTGGGTTAGAGGAGTCCAGGTATGAACCTCTCCTGGCTGACTGCCTCGCTTTGACGGTGGCACTATGCTAATAACAGATGGTGCCACGTGGCTAAGAAGGCAGGCAGGTATGTGGAAACACCTGCGCCATTCTTGTAACTTTTCCAAGTCTGAAGTTATTTCAAAATTATAAGTTAAGACAAAAAATCATTTGTGACGCTTTCAGCGAACGCTCAGGAAGAGCGGCGGGGGCGGGCACTCACAGCCGGAGCCACCAGGCTTCCAGGTGCTCCTCCTGCTCCTCCAGCAGCCTGTTGCACTCGAAGTCGCTGCTCCCACACAGGCTCTCCATGATCTCCAGTAGGCGGACCTCACTGAAACACAAGGCCCATCAGCACCACAAGGCGACAAGGGGCATGTGCCCTGGAGGTCAGCGCCCATGCTATAGGGATGTCCTGGGGCCCCACCTGGTGCCACTTAGTGAAAAAAGACCCTCAACAAACACATCATCTGGGGATGGTGGTAGCTGGTGCTATGCAGAGGATTAAACTCAGCGAGACGAGGGTGGTCAGGTGTGGGGTCCACCAGGGGAAACCCTGAAGCAGGGCAGGAGGAGCTGGAGCTCTGGGCAGAGGGGAAGGGGGTTTATCCCACCCACAGGGGAAGCCAGCAATATTTCAGTGTGCATTTTTAAAAGACCACCGTGTCTTTTGCGTGGAGAGTGGATGTAGGCACAAGTATGGAAGCCAAAAGGTCAGGGGCCAGTGCATTAGTCCCAGGCCACAAAACAGGTGACTGCACCAAAGGGACCCTTCTGTCATCAACGTGGTGACAACATTCACAGGAACACGTCAAGTACTAAAGTCAGGCCGCTGGGCTCTCAGAGCAGGGGCTGGCACCCACCTGAATTCATACTTGGACAGCGTCTTTTCCTCCCAAGCCGTGTTCCCGCCGCCGAAGTTCTTCTTCGCTGTGTCCACCATTCCCTGTGGGAAGACGGTGGGCATGGAGCTCAGAGCTGCTGCCCTCAACCCCATCCATCGCGGGGGTAACTGGTCCACGGTGGGGTGACGCCCTCCATCGCGGGGCGCCCCCGGCCCCCTACCCTGTGTCCCCCGCCCCGTGTCCCCGGCCCTCTGCCCCCTGGACCCCACCGTGCCCCCGGCCCTCCGCCCCCGGGACCCCCGACCCCG